TCAATCATTTTCACTAGGAAAGTAAACTTTAGAAAATTCAAAGGATGGAGATTTGAGTTGTACATTTTTATGTCAAATTTATGTTGGTAAAATTGTTGATGGAAAAGATAAATGACAGTTTATTACATTTGTTATATGATAGAAAAAGACACATTTTGAATTAAACGTGTATTTCAAGAGGCCATGTGACAGTTTGAAATACTTAATATTGAATTGTGTTCATTTTACATTCTATTTTTTTTTAATAGTAGCCAGGATAATGTATACTGCATAGTATCCAATAGGCAGTAAAAAAAAAATCTGTTTAAAATCTCCATCCTTGAATTTTCTAGGTAAAGTTTTTGGAAATATTTTAATTGTTGGTGACATGACAGTTTAATACTATCATGACACTGAAAAAGATACACACTTTTTTTTTTAAATTAAAGAATCCCTGATTTTATCTGCTTCAAATATTGGCCAAATTAGGCTAATAGCAATCATTTTAAATATTATTGGTCCTTACAAATATATTGCACATCCATAGTGTATACTACACATTGGCTTTCCCATTTCCTCCTCTCTTCTGTCCACTTAATGAGAAAAACTTGAAGTAAATTGTTTCTGTCAGGTTCAGCTGCTGATCTGTTAATCTGAGTGTGGGTCAGATAGAAAAGAGGAAGTGGTTTGGAGCTGTGCTGAGATTATCTAGTAGGGATGTAACTTTTATTTTTAACATGAGAAGTGGAGCATTATCTTTCTGTCTGGTTTTGTGAGACTTTGGAACCACGTCCAAACCAACCCTTGGGCTTATAGTTTGACACACAGGGAGAGACACATACTGTAATCATGTTCTCCAGTATTTTCTGGGTGATATGCAGCTGGTGATTTTATGGAGCCAGTGTATAGAAGTGGGTGGCATTAAAACACTCACAGGATGCTGTGCAAAAACAACCTCTGAGTCTGCTTAATTCAAAGTTGTGTTTTGCACCTCTGTTTTAATGGGAAATTGGACAGCTCTAAACAAGAGATTGAGGCCTAGGCAATCAATTGCACTGGATTTCTGTTCTTGCTTTAATATCCTTTGGCAGTGGGAGTGATTCCTTCAACATCAAACGGAATGGAGGAAAAAAGCTTACGAATACTTAAAGCAGAAAATAATTGAAATAAGCCATTGTATCTCCAATAGTGATTTGCAAAGTAGTTTTTTTAATTTGCAAAATAATGAAGACTGTTTTTATGCCCTCGGTTTCTCATTTCTAAGGCTTTTTATGTTCACTTAAGTAGTTGCTAGTTGATTACATCATTAGTCTCTCCATGTACTTTTCTTTAGAGTGCTGTAACAAAACGGATTGGGACTGAAGGGTCAGACAAAGGGAAGTGTCTAAGATGCATGAATACCCAAATTCACCATTCACTGCAACATTTATTGACATCAGGTTAATGAGTGACTGGGAACGTGCTGAAATGGAAAATATTTTGCAGTAGGGAGGAAGTCATTTAAAGTAATTTATTACCTGTATCTTAAATCAAGATTTTACTGCATACAATGATTATACTACTTAAAATGGCACTTGTTAGCACATTTCCACATTGAGTACTTTGAGGAAACATTTTTAGGGATACTGTTGAATGATTTTTTTTGTTTATGTTTGGTTTATTCATGTTTGGCTTATTATAATCACTCTGATATCCCACAAATCTTTGTGTTTTTATGAAGTCAACTGTGTTCAGATAGCATACTATCACTGTAGTATACACTGTGCATGCTGTGCACAGTATGTACATTTTCTGTTTGCATGCATTATATACCTACTACATTTGAAAAAAATGAGCACTATACAAATCACACTGGGTAGAATATTGTATCCCACAATGCAAACACACTCAATTTGACATCATGTCCAGTGTAATGATAGAATGAAAATATCAAATATTTTTAAAATCTCATTATGTAGTTGGACTACCAAAACATTAAGACATTTTAAAACAAAGTTGGACTAAAATAAAAAATAGCAATAATATGATTTTATATCTGGACGACATTTACCAAATTAAACTCACATGTAATAAGGTCATGTGTTGAAGTGTTAATTGCTTCATTGTGTACTGTTTCCCCAACAGTTTAAAAAAAATAGTATCCAAAAAATTCTGTTAAACAGTAATATTGTGAAATATTATTATAATTTAAATGAACTGTTTTCTGTTAAATCTATTTTAATCTATTTTATCAAATGTATTTTATTCCTTTGATGGCAAAGATGAATTTTCAGCATCATTACTCCAGTCTTCAGTATCACACAATCTTCCAGAAATCATTCTAATATGCTGATTTGGTACTCAAAAAACATTTCTTATTATTATCAGTGTTGAAAACCATTGTGCTGCTTAATATTTTTGTGGAAACCTTATACATTCTTTTCAGGATTCTTTGATGAAAGTTTAAAAGAGCATTTTATTTGAAATAAAAATCTTTATAAATCTTTATAGCTTTATTGTCACTTTTGTTCAATTTAATGCATCCTTGCTGAATAAAAATATTAATTTCTAATTTCAGAGTTACTGACCCCAAACTTTTTGTGGATTTGGAGGAGGACCAATGTCATTTGAGACCATTTGGTACTTTCCTCCATATCATTTCAATGAAAGCCCACACAGATGGTTCCCTTTTTTAATTATATATCTGTCAGCTGAGCTTTTCACTTAAGCTTGATGTTTTAACATGATTTCATTATTTTTTTTTTCTGATGCATAGTGTAATTATCATTAATTGAGGCCGTGTTAATCGTAACTCAATCCTGTCCTCTTTAAACCAGTTCTCATTGTCTGTCTATTTCTCTCTCCAGTTTAGGCTGTAATAAGTGGATGTTATGTGTATAATTTGTCAACTGTTCCCTTGAGGAGAACGCAGCAGCACAGAAGCCCTTCCAGCGAGGATGTGCGACGTTTGCGCACACATGAGTCATTGACTGACAATCACTCTGTTCCCTCCTGTATGAACACTTGTCGATACATATTGACATACAGTTTCCTCAGCAGCGGTCTAACTCACACATACATACGCAAATAGCACCAGGAAACTCCATAGCATTATTTCCACACAAATCACACAAAATTCCAGTCATTCGGCACAAGCCGAGCCGCTGCCCTCATTTTAGAAGCACAAATTGAAACACATTTACAAACACACAAACTCATTTTTCTGCTCGCTTGTTTGCTGCCCTCTCTCTCGCAAAGACGTTACATCACAAGCGCAGCTGGGGTTTCAATCTGCAGCTGCACTTGTGGATACAGAAATGATATGCCCGGTGTTTTATATGTGTGTGTGGGTCTTGCTGGTTTGACTGTATCTAGTTTGATTACGATTCGGCGAGCCTGTCGCAACATGCCTGCCATGCGCACAGGCACTAAAAAACACACGCTTGATTACATCTGACAGGTAGAGGCTCTCACAAATCATATAAATCTACCCCTTGTCACTCTCTCACCTGTGGCCTGAAATTAATGTCATTTATGAAGTGTGTGTGTGTAGACGTGTGGTTGAGTGTGTGTTGCTGCCGGTTAGGCTGCAGTGGCAATGCGTGTTGGAGGCTTCATTCACATTTTCTCTTCACCGTTCATTCATCACGACTTGCTCTCCCGCTACGTGCCTTTATAATTTAAATAAAACTTTAAATAATATTAAAAAGGAAAATATCAAAATAAAAACAAATTTAAAATATTAATAAATACTATAATAGTATCTCAAAGATACTAAAATAACAAAATTGCTGAATAACTATATCAGTGAAACTAAAATGACACTGTTTTACAGTGTAAAGAGAGTTTATATTATACAGCAAATAAAATATAGACAAAATTACTGAATTTAAATGCATGCATTTTATACAGTATTTCATTAAAATTCACTGAGAGATATTATCAAGGCTTTACATTTAGGAACTGACAGTAGGTGAAAATGAACCTGAACCATATCCAGAGACCTAAATATTATAGACTTGGAGGAGGGTGCTTTTTGACTGCCTATAGCAAATATCTGGAACAGCCTACCAGCACCCTAGCAACCACCCAGAACACCATTGCATTGTGGTGTCAAATGTACAGCCATTTATTTCATGCCTGTTTTATTAACAGTACAATCACAGTATGTTGTCCTCATCATTTGCCCCCTTTTGCTTAGTTCTACCTCTTTCCTTGTGTGAAAGGCAGTACAGAGGTGACGGTTGCTGGGGAGCTTAGAGGAGTTGATTTTGGCTCCGGTGTTGCATGCTTGTTGTTAACAGTCCAGCCTGAATATGTCTTATGACTCATGTTCATGTTGCATTGAACAGAGCTGAGAAAATATGACAGACTTAATCAGGGATTAATTTGGCAGGGGTGTGTGTTATGGATGGTAGTTGCAAAGACTATCTCTATACTCATTTCTGTATATTTAATCCTATCTGAGATTATTCTTTCTTCAAACACACACATTCATATAGAAGCGAAAAAGAAAACGCTAAGCAAGTGAATCTCACAAAAACACGTATGGGTTATATTTCATCTCAAAATCAAAAGGAAAATTATATTTATAAGAAATTATATTTTATTTCAGAAAAATCTGCCTAACTAAGATGTTTTACATTGTGACATTAATTTCATGAAAAATAAACACACACACACACACACACATATATATATAATACATGTATTGATATAATACATGTCTTGTTTTAATATCCAATTATAAAATGTGTATTAATATGTATTAAGATATGTTAAGATAAGATATATATCTTGTTTTATAATATCCAATATAACATCCAATTATAAAATGTTTCCTTAATTTTCCCTTTTGAATTTGGGATGAAATATGTCTTAAGATATGTTCTTTATCAACTTTGTAAGATTAACACAAGAACCAACATGATAGAAGATATCAGAAACATGAAAGATAGGCTTTACATGCACACAAAGAGCAACAAAAATATTGCGTGTGTGTGACTTGGTAACAGGAAGCCTCTGTGGCCACATGTCCAGTCATGCTGAAGAGTGTGTTTGGTGTATACAGCAGCAGCATCAGCAGCAGCAGCATAGCAACAGTGTGAGATTGCCTAAGCAAATATTCCCTAATTCTTTGCTCAGCGTTTTAAAAGCTTTTACGTGTGCTGGCAGATGGCAGATGAGATGGAGATTTTCTCAGGGACCTCATCAGCAAATGGGTGTTCTCAAATCTCAGGCCACTCATTACTTAATTCAGCTGAACTCTGAGATCTGTTGGACATGTTTTAGTTTAAATGAAAAAGTAAAGGTCGGTAAACTTATACTGATCTCATTCTCAGTAAGCACAGGATTCAAGCTCCAGGTGTGTTAGCCAGACAAGCTCTATCAGTGACAGTACGAGGGGAGAAGATGGACCACTCGTAGATTAATGAATGGGAGAAATCACAGTGGTAAATACCACTCAGTCCCACCTTTATGTTAAAAAGGCAGATCACCTTGTTAACTTGAGTTTTTTAGTATAATGCTCAAGTGCAAACAGGTTTGTTTGTTTTTTAAACGTGGCCAATGGCCATGTTGTTAGAATTCAGTACTCATTTTAATTTAGAATTTAGTTAAATTGTGGCCTACATTCCATCGACAGTATACTTGTTCCAGGTTCAGGCCTTCTGGAGTAACCTGAGGTTAAGTTCCTTGCTCAAGGGCACTGGCAATAACTTTACCGAACTTACAGAAAACTTTAACACCACTCTGCTGATGCCTTGCGAGCACTGGTGTTTCCTTCGGGAAATGCAAATCTAGTTTGTAAATATGTGTGTTTGTAGAGTCACTATTGAATAGTGTATGAGAACAGAAAGGACAACAGAAGGCTTTTAGCACCCGTGTGTAGATGCTGATGCCTGTAAACTATTTAATCACACTCAGTGCTTCAGAGACTGTCTGGCCAGTGTGCCACATTCATTTGTGTTATCGACTGTGTGCTGTAGCCTTAATTCATCTCCTGCGAATGACAGTATGTGCAGCACTCCATCATTAAACATGCCATCATCTGACATATACTTGATGTATAAACAAATGCACACTCGTGAACATACACTTGGAAATGTTAAATGTTAGACTTAAAGCAACAAACACAGTTTCACTATGCAGCCTGGAATTATAAATCACACCGTGTTCGTTTGCTCAGGCCAAAAGAGAACCGGACTTCCTACTGAGCCTGGTTTCTCCTAAGGTTTTTTTTCTCTACTTTTTCTCCACACCTGATGGATTTTGGGTTCCTTGCCAGCATCGCCTTTGGCTTGCTTAGTTGGGGTTTAAAAGATCCTTAATATTCAGTAATATTATTGTGTTGACTGCAGTGACACCATCGGATGAGAATAAAACTTGAACTGACTTGAACAGAGCTGAATACTGACACTGTTGTCTTCTGTAGAGCTGCTTTATAGCTGAATCAAATTTATTTCATAATTGATGAATTTTGCGACATTTACACTGAACTGAACTGAATTGACTCGAGCTGAATAACGACACTACCGTCTTCTGTAGAGTTGCTTAAAGCTGAATCAAATTCATTATATAACTGATGAATTTTGCAACTTCGACAATGAATTGAACCGACATTGAACTGACTCAAGCTGAATAACGACACTACCGCCTTCTGTAGAGCTAACAGCTGAATATTCATTCGACCTTCAGCGAGTCCGTTCATTGTTGATTCAATTCAGTTATTACATGTTGATGTTGCAAAATATCAATTATGAACGAATCGACACTGAATTTAAATGAAATGAATCAACATAAAAGTGGCTTGCTGAATACTAACACTATTGTCTTCTGTACATTCGCTTATATCTGAATCAAATTCATTTCATAATCGATGAATTTTGGAACATCAACATTATTAAACTGAATTGAATCAACACTGTACTGACTCAAGCAGAATAATGACACTATTATCTTCTGGAGAGGTGCTTATAGCTGAATTGAACTTGTTTCATAATTGATGAACTTTACACAGTTATTGAACTGAACTAACACTGAACTGACTTATGAAATAATGACACTATTGTCTTTTTAGAGCTTCTGTAAAGCAGAATTTGAATTTGTTTAATATTTTCCTGATTAATATTGTGATACAGCTTTGAAACAATCTGTATTGGAAGAAATGCTAAATAAATTAAGACTTCACTATGAAAACACTGAGGTCCAGTGAAAATACTCAATTGTTTGCATTCTTCAAAAAAAATGTAACATTACTGTGAAAGTTTTAGATAGTTAACCTCATATTCTAAAATTCAATATGTAATGATTACCATATTCATATTTACATGATATTAAAAAAATTACAATAGCATTACCATGGTCCAAAAACATGGTAATATAAAGTTTGGCTAAGAGGCAACACTAATATTTCATTTTTTGACTATCAATTGCTTCTGTTCTACTACATGCATTAACCTGTAGCATCCAACTAACACTGTCTATATTTCCCAGCTCTGAAATCAAAAATGAAGCCATGAACTCTCTTTTCTCTCTCTTTTAAAGGGGTGCGTTTTCAGAGGTGGTCCTGGCAGAGGAGAGGTCCACGGGAAAGATGTTCGCTGTGAAGTGCATCCCTAAAAAAGCGCTGAAGGGGAAGGAGAGCAGCATCGAGAATGAGATTGCCGTTCTACGCAAGTGAGTTCCATTTCCCGCACCTCGCTCCCGTATCACACCTGTACCCATGGCAACAGCATCACCTGTCTCTTCCACACTCATTCCCTCAGTTTGCCAGTTGATAGGAGCTTGTTTGCCTGAGGTTTGACCTCCAGTTACCGTGGTAACTCCGGTGCCCTTGTCCAATTACAGCAGGGAAGCTCCCGCAGATGTTCTCTCTCTGTGAAGCCACATGCGTGCGAACCATGTCCATGAATGTGAACAGAGGCTTTGACTGTGTTTAGAATGAAAAATAAGTGCATGCTTACTGCATACTGAATGCACAGTATATAGCTATTATTGCACGCTTAGCTATTAGTTTTAAAAGATAGTATGTGCAGCAATAAACACGAGTATAGTAGATACAATTTTTGCTATAAATCCAATTTTGTGTAAAAAATTCTGTAATTTCAAGTAATTTTAGTCCAATCACACACTGCCTTTCAAAGATTAATTTTTTTAAGAAATGAGTTATTTTATTCAGTAAGGATACATTAAATTGATCTATATTTTGATATCATATTTGGAATAAATCCAATTTTATGTAAAAAAATTAAAAAACTGTAATTTCAGCCAGTTTTCGTCCAATCACACACTACCATTTAACAGTTTGGGGTGTAACCAACGTAACTAAGTGTAAACAACGCTGATTACACAGATTACATTCATGTGCGCGCTTTCTCCCCCGAAAGTAAACAACGCTAATTACAGTGTATTTAACAATTCTTCTCCCCCGAGTTACGTCTTCCGCCATTTTGGAGAGTACCCAAGAGCGTAATTGACACGCTCTTGGGTACTCTCCAAAATGGCGGAAGACGTAACTCGGGGGAGAAGAATTGTTAAATACACTGTAATTAGCGTTGTTTACTTTCGGGGGAGAAAGCGCGCACATGAATGTAATCTGCGTAATCAGCGTTGTTTATGCTTAGGGGAAAGCGTGCGTATGTGTTGTGATACTCTAA